TGGCGGAAGTTGCACATGCAAAAATGCACATTCCGTAACGCGCTATACGAAAATATAAATAGTAAATAAAATTCCGTAATAAAGCATTGCGAAAGAAAACTTGCGAAACAAATCATTTCGTAAGAATACTTACGAAATAGTTCCTTACGGAAAAAGCATTCCGGAATGTGTAGTTACGAAAAAGACGCAAAAGATTTTATGTTACGATATATTTAAGATATTAACTGTTAACAGTTTAAATAATAAATAATAAAATTATAAAAAAATGTTGTCAAATGATTCTTCAAATGTTTATACAAATATACCTAATATATATATATATATATATATATATATATATATATATATATATATATATATATATATATATATATATATATATATATATATACATATATATATATATATACATATATATATATATATATATATATATATATATATATATATATATATATATATATATATATATATATATATATATATATATATATATATATATATATATATATATACATTAACGGGATTTTACTGTATACATATGTATATATATATATATATATATACACACACATACTATATATACATATAGTATATATACAGTAAAATCCCGTTAAGTTGGACTCTCATTGAACAGATAAACAGTATGCCTTTCTTTTTAAAAAGTATAAAGAGGATGTGTGATAAACAATTAAATAATTTATTATAAAGAACGAGAGATCTCTCTAAAGGTAAATGATATCAGAAAGAGTAAAAAGAGAAGAAATATATGTGAAACAGCGGGATGTGAACCTGGGTCTACGCGGCCAAATGTCTTAACTGAATGAGCTATACGTTCATTCAACTAAGTGAATAGTAATATTTATTTAATATATAATTAAGAAACTATATAAAACAGAATTTTAAATATCAGGAAAATGAATAGTAATGTGAACCTTTAGATGCTTATAATTAATATCTGGACTCAAAAACTAGTTACTTTTAATGGAACACAATAGGCTGTTGGAGCCTCAGGGAAATTATATTCAGAAATGGTTATATTAGACTCAGAGTTAGCTAGAAATTATTACAAAGTATTTAGGACAGATATCTTGTACAAAAAGCAAAAGATTTAAAGCAAAATGATTTATATTATTTGAAAAAGTTGTTTTACGTACATTTTATCATAATTTAAGTAGAACTTAGTAAAGCAAGGGAAACGTGTTGAATTAAGCACAATGAACTCAATCTTAAAAGAATAACTAACAGAAGAGAGGTTGTTACTATTGTGAAGGTGACGAAATATCTGTAATATTGAACATAGAGGTCAAAAAATGCTATTTTAAGTAAAAAAAGTTTGATGAACAAAAGTTACAATGACTGCGGGATGCGAACCCGGATCTCTGCGGCGAATTGTCACGTATCTAACTGATTGAACTATACAATCTTATACTTAAATTTATATCTTATTAAAATTAAAAAACAATATTTTCTAAGATCTATACTTCGAAAAGCGTATTCAAACAGGACTCTACATACCTTTAAAATCTGCTAGAACTTTAGTAACGTGCACACTTTTAGAAATTATTGAAATAGGTATATTTTATCAGAAATATGCTTAAGCTAAAGCATATTTTTGAACCTTTTTTTTACTATTTGCTTAAGCATATTCGAACCTGTTTCAAAAATTTCATATGCTTTAAAAAAAAAAACATGTATATTCCTACCCATCATTCTTATTTTTAATATGCGTAATGAGTTCAAAAAACATCTTTGCATATATTTATTACGGCACGTTTCGTAAGTTTATTTCCGTTAAGAATTCTTTCGTATGTTGTGATCCGAAATACTTTCGTTTCGAAAGAAATTTTATTTTTTATCAATATTTCTAAAAATAAAACCATAAAAATTTAATAGTTATTATACTGAAAATAAAAATTCATTATAAACATTTTGGGATTTAAAGATGTTAATTTTTACAATTAAAATCAGTCTGGCAAACAAATTTTCTTTATAGACTTCAAAACGTCGTTTGGCGAAAATGTTTGCTTCGCAAGTGCGACTTCCGAAACCGCTACTTTCGTATGTTGCAAAATAGTTTTGTTTCGTATGTCAACTTGCGAAATGCTAAATTTCGGAAGTGGCTTTTGCGAAATGAACATCGGCGATTTTAAATGTTTTGTAACATTCGTTACGAAAAAATGTAATTCCGCGTTCTCAATCTCCTTACGAAAGAATGTTGTTTTTCCGGAATTGCACGAAATCCTCCGGTTAACAACCCTACTACGAACATTTTTTTTTAAAGTTATGTTCGAAATGTCTTTTAAACGTTTTTTTAACGTCTTTTAAACGTTCTTTACGTAAGAATGTTTAGAAGACGTTTAATAGACATTTAAAATACATTAAGAACGTAACTTTTAAAAACAAATGCCTGCTGGGGACATTTATTGAACATAATTTGCTTAACAATAAAAAAAAAATTTGTCAAATATTGATACTGTCTATAATTTGCAACATCGGTTTTATAACCTGATTTAAAAAAAAATAGAAAAATAACCAATAGAAAATGTGATTCGAAGAACATTTACAAAGGCAATTTTAACTCATTATAACAGTCAGTTACTATGTTACTATTTATGTCATAGATGGACATAAAAAATAATTTACGTCATCAATTCCAGTAGATTTATTATTATTTTTATTTATTATTATTAATATATAATTATATAATATCTTTGTTTTAATTGTACAATTAGTATTACTTATAATAATAAAGATAGTTGTTGTGTAATAGTAATAGCTTTATAGTTATTGTATAGCCAAGGCCGGTGCGATAGGGGGTGCGGAGGATGGAAAACGAGGACTTTTTATTTTTTTAGTCGGCAAAAGTTGTAATGGCACCCCCCCCCCCTCACGTGACACTTACACGCGCCGGCCCTGTGCATAGCTCTATAGTTATATATTTAAATGCGTGTCTGTGTATATATATATATATATATATATATATATATATATATATATATATATATATATATATATAAATTATATATATATATATATATATATATATATATAAATATAAATTATATATATATGTATATATATATATATATATATATATATATATATATATATATATAAATATAAATTATATATATATATATATATATATATATATATATATATATATATATATATATATATATATATTATTTACCTCCACAAGGTCGAGATGGCCACTACAGTCGAGGAGGCTACTTAAGCGAAATTAGAAGAGTACATTAAGCGTAAAAATAGTTAAAAGTACATTTTACTATTGGACATAAACAAATAAATGTTTACGTCAATAAACTCAAAAAAATATTTATAAGTAGAAACCATCGGTTATGTCAGTTATTATTTGTCATTAGCTTATTTTCTATTGTTTAAGCCGCATATGAATGTGGAAAATAAAATATAAGGAGCGCATATATTCATGCTTTTTATCATTACTAACAAATGATAACCAAACTTTAAGTATAAACTGTAATAAACAGTAATAATAAAACAAATAACTCAAAAAAATAAATTTGTACATGTTTGTAATATTAATAAAACACCATTTTTTTAAACGCTTATTGCTACTCTAAAATGGTGGTAATATAAAACAATCTCGCCGAGTTGTTTTATGCAGTTGTTAACATTTACAACTTATCACGTTTTTAATTGTGTTTAACTGTCGGTATTAACGGGGTAAAATAATTGCGAATTAAAAAAGTCGCTATAGTTGAGCTCAATGCTGGGTTAACTAATTTATATTTTAAAAATAAGCAACGGAATTTAATTAATTAGATTTATAATTTATAATTTTATTTAATATCAAATATTTTAATATCAATTTTTATTTTATTATCAAAAGCATTATAGTAATATTAAACGCAAAAATACTCTCGGTCGTTAAAAAGTTTCGAAAAACGCGACAAAAACTAAATTACTCAAATTTTAGCTTAACCGCATGAGTAATAGAGAGATGAATAAACAAACGTGCTAATGCACAAAACCCAGTATTAGCTCTTCTATAATATCATCAAAACTTGTCTACTACATTAAAAGAAAAAAAAAAAAAAATGAAAGTTACATTTTCAAAACAAACAAATGGAAAAGCTTGAAAAAAATTTATCAACACATAGAAACCATCTAAAACATTGTTATAGAAAGTTCAACTCAAAACATTAAACTTTAATAACATATTATTTTGGTTTCACACTTAAAGACTCCTATAAGAAAAATAAATTCTTAAAAACTCAATATAATGTAATTTATACAAATTAATTTCAAATAACAAATTATTTAAACAAAAATCGAATTAATTATATATATATATATATATATATATATATATATATATATATATATATATATATATATATATACATATATATATATATATATATATATATATATATATATATATATATACATATATATATATATATATACATATATATATATATACATATATATATATATATAACATATATATATATATATATATATATATATATATATATATATATATATATAAATATATATATATATATATATAAATATATATAACATATATATAAAGTAAAAACTAAATCATTAAAAGAATATATTTTTATACTCACAAATATTAACACCATTTCTAATTTTCTAAAAGTTTGAAAACTTCAAAGTCAACTAATATCGTTAGGTTTAAGTAGTATATATCTTTGATTCTTTGATTTGAGAGAAAAGAAGAAACAGAATTAAAAGTTTACAAAATTATTCTTTTTCAATATTATTTTACAATTTTTATTAATACATATTTACAATTTGTAATAAAAGCATATCTGGAAAATAAATACCACTGTGATAAATGGTTAAAATACTTTTTTCAAAGATAAGAAATGTTTCAAGCTAAACAGTACTTGCCCAAAAATATTTGTTTTAAAAATGAAGCTGCCCATGCAGATTTGATATAAAAACATAGGTATCTTAAAATATACCATTTTTCTTCCTTCTCTATTAGTTGCTGTGCCATCATCTCATCTTGTTGTTGTGTAATATCTTCTCAATAAACTTTTTGAAGGCAATGACCAATCAAACTAATCAACCAAAGTATAACTTAAGCTAGTTGATATTTAAAAGATCACAGTCTTTTCAAACGAGCTTTGTTATCTTTTGCATTTATAGAATATTGATGACAGTATGCATTTGTCAGTTTTCTAGGTGAGCCTAAAGTACCTGGACCACCCATAACTTGACACGTAGGCGAGTGCTTTTCTTTTGAATAAAAACAATGTATACAAAAGTCTGTATTACACTTGGTACAATGTCCGACATTTTGATAAGATATTTTAGACGGAGACTGACACTCAGGGCATTGTTTATATTTATCCTTAGATGTTAAAAGAAAAGTATCTGAATTTAAAAATGTATTACTTTCAACCTTTAACAATTTTGAAGGAGTATTTGCTTCAACATTTACATTAGATGTCAATAAAGGCAAACGTAATGGACCAAGTAAAGTTGTTTTCTTCACGCATTCTCTGTTTTCCTGAAAAATTATTAAATATGGGTAATAATTAACAATATTTATTAGGAGTTAAATTGTAATAAAGCTTGTGTATAAATTAAAAAATAAAAATGGCATACTTTATTAAACTCATGTGACCTCTTTAGCTTTTTTAAAAATCGATTCATTCTTCTCCCTGACTTAATGTCAACATATCTAATAATTGAACGCCAAGTTGAACTTACATGTGAGGCTCTGAATGAAAAAAAATCGTATTATTTCCTTTATTATTTTTTAAGTATTGATTAAAAATAGAAATGCTTTAGCTTAAATTCTTTTTGCTCCATCACAACAAAGTTTAATCTTAAAAGAAAGTCAACTAACAATAAATTTCTACCTGAAATCAATTAAATAAATATCTTACCTTAATAAATCACGATCAGCAAGACTATCTAAAATTTTTTTACAAACTGTGCTTATCATTGATTTGGATAAAAGTTCTTTGAGAAAATCTACTTTTTTATCTTTGTTTATATTATCATCAACGTCGTCGAGGCAAAAACAAGGAGGTTTTTCTTTATAAATGTTGCAAATAAACCTGTTAGAAGTAGAGACTTCATCAGATAAAGGTGGTGTGTACATAAAACTAGCCGAGGCTAGTTCAGGAGTTTTCGCCATGATGAGCCTTTCGTTAATGAGCTTTATAATCTTGAATTTTGGCGCTTCAGTTACGTCTTTGACTGTTTACCTAAAATTCTAAATACAACCGCTTTAAATTTAAAGCCAATCATACACGAGAGAAAAAATTTAACCAATACAATTAAGTTAAAAACTGAGAAAATATTTGAAAAAAGAAATTAGGCTGAATAATAAATGAAACTACTCTACAGTTTAAAAATATGCTTCATTTAGTTGAAATAAATACAGTTTATTTCAACCCATTTGACTCTTTTTTTATGCATAAGTAAGTCGATAACGTGTTCTAAAAATACTTAGGAAACAATCATGTGATTTAAAATAATACCATGCAACTAAAAATTTTGACTTAAAGCTGACGTAAAGCTCAGTTTTTTTTTGTATTTTTTTTTAACATTTTTTTACCAACAATTTTGTTAGCGTACGTTATGCTTATCTGAGAATCTACCCTCTCCTTTTCTAACACAAGGCAGTATTTTCCAATTATCTAATTTCCACTAATGATCCAACAGATTAACTAAACTGAAACGAAACACAAAAGATCCCGATAGAACTCGATAGTAAAATGTTTAACAGATAGTTTGTATTTAAAATTTTTACGCTAATAAGAAAGTAAATATGTTTTGCCAAATAAAATTTTTTTATATTATTTATAAAAAATTTATTTGAGCAATTTAAAATAAGTTAAAAAAACTGAAACTTATTATAATTACTTATAATGAATTCAGTTTAAGATACTGATGATAATTTTGAGCAGACTCACTGCTACATTATAGGATTTATAATAAAAAATATCTCATATAATAACGTCTTTTAAAACAATAATATACCTTTGCATTTCATATACTTTTACATAGCTATATTTTTTACTCCAAAAAATAGTCTTATTTCTAGAGAATAAAAAACGTCGGCCAAATCTTCTTTGAAAGATATTTTAGTTTGAATGATGTTTTAGTATGAATGGTATTTTAGTGTAAATGATATTGAAAGATGTTTAAGCAAAAATGTTCTTATAATTGTGATAAGTGTTTTAAAAGACGGACCACCTAAAACACTGTCTATTTAGCCTTATAGATACCCTGTTTCTGATTATGATTATTTCCGTTGAAAATTATACAACATTACATAATAAATACTTATGCAATTTATGTCTTAATGAAGAGTCATTAAGATTAGGCTGAATAATAAATGAAACTACTCTACAGTTTAAAAATATGCTTCATTTAGTTGAAATAAATACAATTTATTTCAGCCCATTTGACTCTTTTAAAGAGATTTTAAAGACTCTTTTAAGAGTCATTAAGATTAAGAGTGATTAATCATTATTAATCATACTATAACAGTCAAAAATTACAACTTGTTAAATAAGAAAAGTGAAATGCTTTCTAAATTTTGCAGTGAATACAAACCTCTTTTCACTATTCGAAATTGGAGATTATCTACCCAAAATTTTCTTATTCTATTTTTTAAATTTTGTTTGCTATTTTTTTTTTTTTTTTTTTTAGTTTTCTTTTTTTTTTTTTTTTTTTTTTTGTTTGAGAAAAATGAAATAAGTTAAGAGTTCTTTAGAATAACATTAAAAAATATTAAATGTTATGTCTGGGGCGGAATGAAATATTTTATACAAAAAAATAAAATAAGTTAAATCAGATTTGGTTATTTGAACTTACCAAACATCTTTAACAATTATAAAGTAACATTCTTCTGCTTAATTTTTTATTAATTTTTTTAACGACATTTTTTCAAGAAGTTAAAAATTTATGTTATGCTGTAGCTATATTGAAAAAACTAATTTAAAATATGTATTTATTATTTGATTTGATATAAATTATAATGGAAAACCCACCAAAAGTTATTCACACCTTAAAACAATTAACAATATATTATAAAAATAATTGATTTTTTTTGTCTAGAAGCCATTATAATGAGTAATTTGAAAAATTAGGTACCTATAAAAACAGGAAATGAGAAGAAACAACGTTACACCGTAAAATGATTCGTAAAACCGTAAAACCAAGAGAAAATAGAAATAAAGTAAAGTAAAAATTCTGATAAAAAGCAAAATCATACAAAAACACGTTTGACAAAAAAAAAAAAAAATGTCAAGTTAAAAGTGCTTTGAAAGCATTTTTTTAAATTATAACGTTTAGAATTTACACCAGATAAATTTTAGGCGAGTTCATAATGGTAGAGTTTTTTTTTAAATACTATTAGTTCCCCCTTCCTACAAACACTTGGACCTTGAGGCCCACATTTTATGGCAAATTTTAAACCATACGTTAATTACGGTAAAAAAAAAAACGGTTATATTACATGTTAAATGTATAAACAACATTCTTCTGTTTTGTATACTTCGTAGTGGTATACCTCAAAAAAATTGAATAATAGATATTATGAACTTTTTTTATCTGCTCCAGAAATTAATAAAAAAAATTTAAAAATTGATTAGTATTGTTCATATCTTTCCAATATGCCAAACTTTAAAAATTCTCATAAAATAAATAAAGCCTTAGTCTGCCTAACTTATTTTTCAAAAGGATCAGGAATGACAGAAGTTAAAGAAGGAAGTGTGACATTGAACAGAATACATAAGTTCTTTTTAAAATCATTTGATTTGAACAATGAAACCTTTTCTAATGGCATTTGTACTAAATGTAGAAAAGCATTTGAAAGACTTAAAAAGAAAGATAAAAACACCATTCTGAGTAAACTCTATAATTTCTTAAAAGTCACTTACCAGAAACCAATCATTCTGTGTTTGTAACATTTGTGAATTTGATCGAACTAACATTTTTTCAGGATCAACATCTGAAAAAAGAGGGAGAACCAAGTTGGAAAGAGGAAAAGCTTCATAACCAGGAAAACCAAAAATTATAGGATTGTTATTATAAAACTTAAAAAAAAATATTTTATTTTTAATTTAATATTTCAAACTTTAAATTAAGAAATTTATATAAAATATTTGAAATATAAAATCTGAAAACATGAATGTAAATTTCTATTGATATTAGGATAGACGAGGTGCCAAACTTCAATGTTCAAAAGTATTGAAAAAAATTTTTTAATGAGGAACGAACTAAAATCAAGGTTACAGCCAAATGTAAAACCATGCCGTCGAACATACGAAGACCTCCTCAAAAGCGCTTTTTCCAGTTGAAAAAATCCTAATATCGGAAATAAACAAATTTAAAAACACTTTTGGACACAGAATTTTACACAATGGGAACCAAAGTTCTTAGCATATTTATAAGCTGGAAAAGAAAAGAATTATTTGAATGCAATTTAAGAGAGAAATTAAGTGAAGAAATTAGGTTTTTAAATGATTGTTTTAATGTTTAAGAAATAACTTTTTAAAAAGATTCCACACATTTGGTTTATTGTAAAAGGACTTGTTGAGACAGTAATAAAGCAGAGGAAATTGTCAAAAGATTACATTCTAAAGGTGGGCACTTTAAATGCAGATTTTTAAAACATTGTTGAAATATTACAGAAAAAGTGAAAGAATGTAATTTCAAAATAAAAATTTTAGATATGAGGAGGGAATAGGTAATGAAAGTTAAGAAGATGGTGGCGTAAATAAATTCTTAATTATTGACAAACAGAAAACATTACTGAATCTCATTCAAATCATGAGAAAATTATCACTATTTTAAAGCTAAATAGTTTAAAACACTTTTGTGCTTTTAATATGAAATCGGCCAATATATTTTTGGAATTGAAAGTGCAGCATCAACACATCCTTGCTCTTGGTGTAACAAAGAAAAAAGATGGTGAGCTCAAAGCTCTAGGAAGTATCCGTTCATTAGCTTATGCTTACAAAGCCGCCTGTAAAGATTAAGAAAAAAAAAATTAAACTTTCAGCTGCATCTAATATTAATTGCGTTAACCTTCCACTAATTGATCGGCCTGGTGACATAAAAATCCTTGCTCCAAAGGAACTTCTTTTACTTTGTAGAAATACAAACAGAACTTTTTTTAATAATCTTGAAAAATATTTGTAATCTATGGATACTAGTTTATCAGCAAACCACTAGAACCAACTATGATGTTTTCAAAGACCTAAGCTGCACGGTGATTAATTTAAAGTTTGAGAATGTTCGAAATTGTTAAAAAAATATTCATGTGTTGGAGGATTTAATCAAATCTTTTAAACTTGAAAAAGATGAAAATATCATTTTTATAGCTTATTCCTTTAAAATGTTTAAAATCTGTTAAAGTTGTCTTGGTGTTCTTTTTGTTACCTGAATATGAGTTAACCCTTAACAAATACAAAGATGCTTATGTTAAGCTTGGTCTACGAGTGTCACCAAAAATGCATGCTCTTATCAAGCATGCATGTGAATTTTTTTTACTTATGTCAAATTCCAATCCAAATAAAGGATTTGGTTTTTAGTCTGAACAGGCCTCGCAATCTGTTCATTATGATTGCAAACAGTTTGGAGAGAGGATGCAAAGTTTCTAGTAGCTTTAAAGATTATCTTTAAAGCCAGTTTTATTTTAAAATTAAATATGTCATAATACATATATGTATCTTTTAAAAACTATTAATGATTGTAAATGGAAATAAATATAAATGTAAACATTAGTTTGTGTTGCTTAAACCATACTCTAATTGAAAAACAATTGAATATATACTAAAAGATCAACTTCAAGATTTTTTATTGTTCAAGATAAGTAACCTCCAGATATGTGTTTTCACACTGTTACAAATACTATGTTAAAAAAAAAATCATGGTGATAAGAGTTTGGAAACAATATTATCCTCAATTTAGGGCCCTAAAGTCCAAATATTTTGATAGCATTGATAGCAATGATAGCACTTAAAAATAACTCTACTCTTATGAACTCGCGAGTTTTTACAGATGAGTTATAGTCGACTGCAGAAAAATAAGTTTTTTTTTCTTTTTTTTCAAATAATTTTTTTTTTCAAATAAATTATTTCCGCTACGGTGTAAAAGAAAAGCGGAGTTATTTGTCATGCTTTTTACATTTTAGACTGTTAATATTTTATTTTTTATTAAAATCAAATTTAAACATTGCATAAAGGTAGATTAGCAATTTCCGGTAACTATTACAACAATTTCATGACAAATGTAAAATCATTCTAAAATCATTTCTCAAAGACCTCTGCTGTGTGACAACCAACCCCAGTTGGCTGTCACAGTGTTGGGTTGGTTGTCACATTTCTTGGTATATTTGGGTTAAAAGTTGATTAGGTCATGATAAGAGATTTAATTTGATTTAAGTAGATCTTTAGTTCTTCTGTCTAGCTGATTAGCCGATGTCTGAATAAATTCTTTAAACCTTTTATTTGGTGGTTCTAGTTTAATTGAATACGGTGGGAAGACTTCTTTATTTGAATCGGCACGTGAAGAAGATGGATTTGGATGATCAGTTACATAATTAGGACAGTAATCAACATCAGTAAAAATGTCAGGATTTAATTGGTAAACAACCATCACAACAGAACCATTCAAAATATTCTTAAGGTATACAGCCATGTCGTAATTTTGAACAACATTATATAGCGCTAACCAAGAATTTGAATAAGCGGCTTAAAAAAAACAACGCGAACAGTCGAGGCAAAGCCAACCTTTCTATGTTCAGGTACCTTGGTGTAGGTAGAAAAAAAGCTGTATATTTACCCGAAAGCGTGCTAATTTCATGAGAATTTTTTATAGATTACATTTCTCAAATGAATAAAAAACTTTATAAATGTACATTTAACATACAATAAAATATTTTCCGTTTAGAAAGAGAAAAATTCTAAAAATGTAAATATACATTTAAAGTTGTATTTGTAGAAAAATTATTAGAAAACAGTTGAAACAAATATCCGGAAAAGTATAATCCAAGATTGAAGACCCTAGATATGCTAGAGAGCATATCTAGGGGTCTTCATGACCCTTAGATTAGGGATTTTAATGAAAAAATTTTAAAACGCGAATACACAAGAAGCCTAACTTGAGGCAAGTATAAAAAAAAAACTTTTACCTTGTGCTCAAGCGGCAAAATACCCAAAAAATGACAAAATTATTTATTTTTTAAGCTCAAGGAAAATCTCAATATTTTGTAAGAATTTTTTTCTAAAGTGCTCATAATACTCCAAATTTTTTTTAAGGTAGTTGTGTATCCTTGTTTTTTTCATAATTGTTGTTTAAATTAAGAAAAGATTTCTTTTTTTTATTTTAAACTACAGTTATGAAAAACCAGGATAAACAACAATTAAAAAAAAAAATTCGGACCATTATTTTTATACATTAGAAAAAAAAATTTACAAAATATTGAGATTTACCTTGCCTTCAAAGCCAAATAATTTGAAGCATTCTGCCGCTTGAGCACAAGGTAAATGTCAATATTTTTGGATTTTTTTTTTGTAATCGCATTTTTTTATATTTGCTTCAAATTTGATTTCTTCTGTATTCGTGTTTTAAAATTTGTTTTTTTTTCTCCCTTACTTAGATATAGCAGAGAGCTGGAAGCCAATATGCATTTGTTTCCTACTAAAAGACATTTTTTTGATACCGAATTGCATGCCTTTTACTATGAATTGATAAAGCTTATATCGATATTGAGTGGAAGAGTGTAACCATCACCACCCAACTTAATCTTTTAACACAAGGTTTTAGAGGTAGTCTGATAACACAAGGTTTTAGAGGTAGTCTGATAAAATAAACTTTAAAAACACATTTAAAACCAAAATTTTCTTTAAATAAAAGTTCTTATTGCCATCAACTTAAATATTAACAAAATACATAATACAAAAGTACAAGAAATAAAACGAGTCTTAGATATTTTATTTTAAACACATTAATCTAACGCCATGTCTTCTATGGAATCGCGTTGTTTATTTGACGATTCACTATCTTGAAGAGCTTTTGTAAACGCAATTATATCTAAAAGTGAACATTTAAATTTTTTTACTCTTTGAAATGCAACTTCAACAAGCATTAAAATGTTTTAAAAAAGATTAAAAAAAAAAAAAAAAAGAATAAAAAACAACCTCCTTTTGCTGCAGCATCAACAGCAGCTTGCGAGAGTTTGAATTGTTGCATAAGAGGGGCAAGTTCACCAGACTGAAGAGCCGTACTGAATATCGATAAAGCCTGCCATAAAAAATACTTAGAAAATAGAAGCTTTGAAAATTTTAAAAAGAAGTATAGTAAAATATTTTTTAGATGAAAAAACTAATGAAATAACTTGGATAAAATAACTAACTTAATAAAATATCGATCAAATATAAATAATTTGTTAAAAATATAACATTATAATTAAATACTAAACACAAGCCTGTTTAAATTGTGGCGACTGGATCGTTTCTCGTAACTCGTTTTCCGAACCCCTCAGAGTAGAAACAGCAGGTAAAAAGGGTTGAAGTCGGGCCTGTACATCTTTATCAACTAAGAGCGGTAAAAGTGCTTCTGTGGAAAACGAAGAAGATAAATCCACACCTATAAAGTCAAAAATTTTTTTTATCAATGCAGTATAAAAATTGAAATTGTTTTTATCTATGGAAAATAAATCATAATTGTTGTCGTAAATTATTAATAATAAATTGTCAAATAGATTTAGGTAATAAAAAATAGTTAATTCTAATTAAAATAACACTTTTAACAAAACAATTACTCATTAAAGACTAAACAAGTTTAAAGACATTACAAAAAAGTTTTTACTTGAAAAGTTTAAAGACATTACAAAAAAGTCTTTACTTGAAAAGTTTAAAGACATTACAAAAAAGTTTTTACTTGAAAAAAAAACAATTACGTCATAATATAATCATAAGAATACAAAAAAACAAGCAGCAAATATTTTTTCAAAATATTAATCTATATACTACATATTAATATATATCATTATTCAATATTATACAAAGTCATTGTATAAAAAAACCATTATATTATTTTAGCCTATAGCTCTGTTTACAAAATACACTAGATTTTAACTCATTTTGTATCCTAAAACATTTCGATTTTAGAGGCTTTTAGTTAAAGTTACTTTTAATTTAGATTTTTTTAAACCAGTAAGATAACAAGAAACGGATCTGATAAAACAAATTGTGGACCATGAATTCAGTCGGGACATGAATTCTCATCCCACTGGAATTTTTGAAATCCACAAACATTTAAAAGGTAAGGTTACAAATAAAGCTGATTTCATGATTGAATGGTTATTATCATAACGTTTGAAATAATGAAATAAGACGACAACTGCTCATGTAGTTGCTATTTAGAATAGGATACTTAATATAATCTTTCTGAATTCTGAAAAAAAAAAAAATTAATTTTGCAGTTTAATAGTTGGCATTAGTCACATATGCAGCACAATTAAAACTATTCAAAATTATTAGTAAGGCTTGATTTAAACCAACAAGAAGGAATAAAAGCTAAAATGACTGCCTACAAAAGCAGAGAGACAAAAGATATCACTGTAAAAACAAAATCAGCCTTAAAGCAGTATTAAGTAAGCAGTGATAAAACCTATTAATAAGTGTAGAAGAATTATGAGATAAGAGTGTTAGGGAGATCATTGCATGATCTGAACCAATTAATGAAAAAAAAAAAAGAAACTAAGCACAACTTAAGAGACAAAAGTTAAGGAGTGAAGATAAGAAGTGAAGGTAAGGAGTGATTATGAGTGAGGTTAAATGATTAGAGTCACCTGGAAAACAAGTCACAAAGTTAACAAATTATAAGATTGAGATCAGTAGTACTAGTGCCAAGTAAAACAGTTTGATGAGCATTAAAGTTACCAATAACAACAAACTAGTCAATTTGATCAAAACAATATTAAAAAGAGTGAATCTTGGGAAGATAAACAATAAAGTACAAAAAAAAAAGGCAATTGAAACGGTTCAACATAAATGAATAGTCAGAGCATTCATTACACAAATAATTAGTGAATTATTATGCAAGTATATAACAAGGCCAAGCATGTCACTATTGAATTCTTTATGAATTTAATCAACCTAAATTTGTATAAAAAACTCCTTATGTGGCCTTGACAAAGCACACCAAAAGCACTAACAGTGACACATTTCATGTGCAACATGACACTGTTAATTTTCTGATACTTTTTACTTTTTAATAAGATCATAATTTGTAAATAGATTTCAAATTTTTATCAAAATAGATCTTTTGGCTTTCAAATAATATAAACTATATAAAGTTTAGAACCCCTCTTATTTTTAAAATGCCCACATTTTTTACAACCCCCACTCATTTTTTAGAATCCCCTCTCATTTTATGAATGTTTTAAAGTTTTAGAAAAGATGTAAAGTTTAGAATCTCCTTTTATTGTTTTAATGTTTTTAAGGCCTTAAAAAATGGTAAAGATGCAGTTTTTTATTTTTTTTATTTAACATTTTCTATCATTTCAACCTACTGAATAGAGTGATTTAAAAAGGCCTGAATTAAAATTAACTTTAGGTAAAAAATCTAAAAAGACAAACTTGCATAAATGAGTTTATTGAATGATCATCTCAGAATTATCACTAATTTAAATAATTCTAAATTAGAAATTAAAAAAAAGAAAAGAAACTTACTTTCTTGTGGTTTAGGAACTAAAAAATAAAAAAATAAATAAAAATTAGAAGAGACAATTTATAAATTAACCTAAATATATGACTTTTATGACATACTTATATTTGTGTAGAATTCATCTAAACAAATAAACATCTAAAATAAATTATGAGTTTTTTTCATCATATGAGCTTATTAATTTTTGACATAATCTTTTTTTTTTTGTATAAAGATTGATTAGAAAAACTTTAAAAAAGTTTTAATCAAGGACTCAAATAAAGTGAACTTATATAAAAATGTTAAAAATTATAATCATTTCTTAAAAATAAATAAAAAAAAACTGTAAAAATTTACAATAATGGGTGTTAATTTATGCGTTACTGGTGTAGTGGTAGTGCACTTGCCTCTTAAGCAAGAAGTTCCGAGTTCGATCTCCACTACGACCCTGGTAGTACTGCGCTCAACTTGTTTTTTCAAGCAGTGGCCTTGTTTGTGAAGGTTCGTGTTTCAAAGTTATGGAGTTGAGAAAGGGTTGTAACCTCAACTAAAAGTAGCCTCCTCAACTGTTGTGGTCTTAATGGCCTTGAAGAGGTGAATTGAAAAAAGAGATGGAGTTTAAAGTCAATCTAATATCTCTTTAAACACATGCTGTCAATATTTATTTGCATTTTTGTGTTATTTTCTTGTTTATATTTATATAAGTATTGTAAAAATGATAAAAGGAAGTAAAAGCACAACAAAAGTCAATTAGATTAGACTTTCTCAAACAGCATTGATAAATGCTTATGTATATAAACATGCAGGGATGCAGAGTGCCAAAAAAGACTTTTTTGTTCAATCAAACAACATTTATTGAACAAAAAGCGCTCAATACCGTTGACCATAGTATTTTAAATTCTAAATTAGAACTTTATGGAATTCGCGGAATTGTAAATGACTGGTTTCAATCAAAATTCAGATTAAAAACAATTTGTAAATATTAATGGTTTTAATTCTAATAATAAATCTGTTTTGTGTGGTGTTCCTCAATGTTCTGTTCTTGGTCCTCTTTTGCTTTTTTTTTTTCCCTCGCAACATTCTAACTAACTCTTTGTTTACTTGTCAGTTCATCTGAAGATACAATCTCTATGTCAATAAAATTATCATTATCATAATTATTTCATCTTAGTTATTGTTGTCAAGTTTGGGGTCAAGTTGGAAATTATCACATTAACAAGTTGCTATAGCCACAGCACCAATTTATTAAAATAATAAACTTCTAACCATTTAAATCAGATAGATCGGAGTCCTTCAAAAAACTTAACATTTAAACATTTCCAGCATTAGTAAAGTATGCTAATCTTCTTTTTGTTTTTGTCTTCTTAAATAAAAATTTACCATCTTTTATTGCGAACTTGTTAACAGAAAGTAGACTAGATCACAGAAAGTAGACGTACTTACTCTACTAGAAATATATACAATGGAAAATTAAATGTACAATTTTATACAACTCAGAAGTAAGCATTCTATTATCTTTCAGTGTGTCTGTGAATCGATTAGGAGCTTTGTATGAGTTTTTAATGAGTCCAAAAATTTACATCCTAAAATACAAGCAGTATAGAAGAAAGATAACCTTGTCAAAGAAAGTCTCAAAGCACTATATCACTCTTTCAGTCTAAGCAGTCAACAAGGATGTGTACATTTACAAATGTCTGGTTAAATTAAAGAAGTTCATTAATACGGTTTACATAAACAACATTGTGGTCTGGCCTGATATAGCTTCTACACATCAACAAAATTACCTAAAGATTCTAACAAAGATTACCTAAATAACCGAAACATTGAATATGCTTGTAAAACTTCAAGTAAAAACTTCAAAACTCAGCATATACAGTCTGTTTGAAATTTAATGCTAGCTCACGAAAAAACACTGGCACAATGGTAATTTTTAAGTTAGCTTTAGTTAAATTTAAAAAATTTGTTTTTTTCTGCTATTTAAATTAAAATAAAAATAGAAAAAAGAATGTTTTGAATAAATACTAGATAAAATAAAAAATTATTATACTAGATAAAATTTAAAAAAAAAATGTTAAAAAAAGGGCATTTTTCATAATAGTAGAACAAATGAACAAAAAGGTTTTGTTGCATATTAAAACAAAACGCTTTTATATTTTTGAAGAGCTCCCTAAAGTTTTTGCGGGCATATGGGCGAGCGCAAAAAAACTTGAGTGCGAAAGCACTGATTAAACAGAAAAGACTGCATATAATAACATCAATATGTGTTGAAAAACACACACCAAATGATGTTTTTTTTAACCATAAAAAGTTGTTTTATTTACAAGGGATAAAAAAGTAAGCGTTATGACCGTCACGCTACATAGAGTTAGCTTTAAAAAAAAGTAGTAATGCTGTAACTTTTACAGGCTTGGACAGGAATGGCGTGCGATCGAGCGCTATTGCTGACCAAGCAAATGATTTTATTTTTTGACAACTTGACCACAATTGTTTAATAAACAATGTCAATATGTTTTGATAAGTTAAAAATTTCAGAAATGTTCAGAATGTAGAAACGCTAAGCTTAAACTAGGAAAAAAAAAAAAAAAAAAAATAAAAAAAAAAAAAAACTAACGAAAAAAAAATTCCTAACGAAAAAAGAAACGAAAAACAAATTCATAATGAAAAAGAAATTATATAAGCACTAAAATGAAAATAAAAACTTAAACTCAGAGCGAATCTTTTTGTTACGTTTTTAGTTACATATGAAATAAACATTATTAAAGCTTATCTTTTTAAAGTTACGCAAAATGCTTTTAAATTAAGTAACAAATCACTACTAATGATTGGTTTAATAAAAGAACAAATTTTATTAAATCTATTAAAAAGTGTTTTATATATTTTGAAATTGTATAAACATTTTTTTTGTCTAAAAAGTTGCAAAAAAAAAAAAAATTGTTTAAAAAAATAATGTAGTCTTTTTAAAATAGTAATTTTTACTAATTTCATGCTCTAATTAGTGAGTCGAATTGAAAAAAAGATTTTGAACTTTTTTATTCGTAAAAATAGAAAGAAAAAATAATAAAATAAAATGCGCCTGCGATTTAAATAAAATAAATTGCCAACAAGCTTTTTAATTTAATTTTAATTTGGGCATTACAACTTTATTAATAAGCGCTTCGCAAAACGAATTTAAAAATTATTATAAAAGATTTAACCTCATTCATTTCTAACGAAATTGAAAAAAAAAAAAAATTGTTTGCAAAAAAAAATAAAATGTTTATTTAAAACATTTTAAAAAATCGTTTAATCATAAAAATTAATAGTATGAACATTACATTAAATCAACAAAATATATGCTTATATAAGCAAATAAAGTTATTTTATATTCTTGTATAATTCACATAAAATGTGTAAAAGTTAGTAGTCACAAAAGCTTTTGAACTTATTCACAAATTAAAGTAACTTAAAAAAATTCGTTCTAAAATCAATGGTTTCAAAATGTTTTAGAAAGACATAAGAAAATAGTTTCAAACGTTTAAATTTATCATAAAAAACAAATGCCTACATAAAAAAAACATATTTATAATGTTTTTTATTAAATTACACAAGCGTTTATGTAAACAATAACTATAATTAATTTTATGGTTTTATTTAAAGCCTTTGCGTAAAATAAAAAACTTGAGAACAGATCAACAATTGAAAGATATTTATAACGTAACACTTTTTTTATTGCATTCAAATTGTTAAAACATCAAAATAGCCGTGGTCAAGTTGTAAAGAAATTAAAATATTAGCGTGGTCAGTTACAGAGTGCGATCGCACGCCATTCCTGTCCAAGCCTGCTTTTACATACTAAATTATATGATAGTATTTCACATTTCTGGAAAGTTTCAAGTCATTTCCATTTTTGGTTCATTTTTAATAACTTAAAGAGTATTAAATGTTATGACCGCTACTCTCACGGAATTGCCAATATATATATTTATTAAATGTTGACATTTTCAAAAGAGTTTGGCTTAATAAATACTTTATGAATTTAACTCTACTTATTAAAAATATATTCATTTTTATGATATTTTGATGGAATATTTAAACAAAAAAGAAAAATTAATTTGAATTTTAAATAATAATTACCTTGCATATTAGATAATATATTTTGCAATTCGCTTAGCTGTACTGAAGCAGCAGGTGTTGAAGTGTTATTAATTCTTTGTACAGGTGTAGTATTTAAAGGAACAGCAGGAGTAGAATTGCTCACAACTTCAGCACTAAAATAAAGTAAAACAACAAATTATTAATTGATAGAACTAGCCCAAACGAACTACAAAACTATGAAACAATAATATAAAAAACTATGACAAATTATAGTACAAATTAAAGATGTAACTGTACTATTGCTGCTACATTTATGATTTAGTATAAAATATGTGTAAACTGGCCTTTGTGGTCGACTTTGTGAAAGAGCAGAGTTATTTCTTAAATCTTGATTTGGACGAGTTGACATACCACCATTTAAATCACCTGACCCTAAACCTGTCATTCCAAGAAGCTGCATTAATTGATTTTGATCCATATTATTTAATAAACTTTGCAGACTACTATCACCTAATAAAGAATAATGTTAAATAAAGAATAATGCTAATAAATAATAATGTTAAATAAATATATGTAAAGCTGAATATATAATTACCAATTTGGTCCCCAAGTGACGCTAGAGCAGGTGGAAGTCCAGCTCCAGAATTTCCATTACTAGGCCCTGTACTAATACCAGGGGTAGGAGGATTGTTTAGCATATCATCAACTTTTTTACAATTCTCTTCATCTTTATCTTCTTTAGGTTCTTGCATCCAAAAAAAAAATTTCCGAGTTGAAGACTTGAACTTGAGAACATAAACTCTTCCAGTTTTGCATTCATTCACACGCTTGAATTCAACATCATCAGGAAATATAATAAGATCCTAAAGTATATTAAATGAATAAAAAAACACTTGAAAACTATATATATATATTATATATATATATATTTATTATAAATATTATACATATATATATTATAAATATTATATATATATATATATATATATTATAAATATTATATATATATATATATATTATAAATATTATAAATATTATATATATATATATATATATATATATATATATATATATATATATATATATATATATATATATATATATATATATTTATATATATATATATATATATATACAGGCTTGGTCAGAAGGCGGGTGCGATCGCACTCGATAGTGCCAGATTTTTTAGTCGTTTTGAGAACATTTTAAAAACAAACAAAAAAGCGCATTAAGATTAACTGGACCGATGAGAGACAGCTAAAAAAAGGAAAATACCTTTTAACGCGAAAAAACTTTAAGCAAAATAAATTTATAAAAGCAATTATTTTTGAAACGCCGCTCTTTTATTACTTTTTTAATAAAATTAAGCGACATTTTTTATATAAAGCAACAACTATAAAGAAACAAATGTTCTTCAATTTATCAAAAAGTAAACATAACTTTTATTTATATACTTATGTCTTATTTCCAGTGCTGGATTAAGGAGGTGGGGGTAGTAGGGCTATAGCCCCAGGACTCACAGTGTTAAGGGAAATAGTCAAGAGAATCATTTGGTATTTTTTTGAGTCATTTTTAAACCAATTTCTAAGAACTTAAAAACTTTTCTTTCTTGGGAGAAAGAATCAGTTATCAGGTACACTGAGGAAAATGGATTAGTGGTTAAAATTTTCTGTATTAATTTTGACGATTATTAATAATTTCATTGAAAACGCAGTTATTATTGAAAGTATTTTTGTTTACAAAATCAATAGCACAAATTGCTTTAAAAGATTACATTTGAATAAAATACACATACATAAAATTACATAAATAAAAATACATTACATACATAAAAAATACATTCCTTTTATATAAAAAATAAGAATATACTAATAAAATCTATATTATATTTACAAAACGTTGACAAATTAAAAAATATAAATTTAAAACATATTATTGTAACCAAATAATGTTAGTTTAAAACATTTATAGCTTTGTAGATGTGGCTCCAAGAAATAAAATAATAGTTCGTTTGATAGTATATTCTTAAAATAATTTATGCTAGAAATCTCAACAAAAATGCAACAAAATTCAAAAAATACAATTTTTAAAAATATTTCAACAGAATACTCAGGACATTCGGTTAGTATTTTTTGAATACTCTAGAAATTTCTGTAAGTATTTTTTGAACCAATAGAATTAGTTGTTTGTAGATTTGGCAAGTTTTTTGTGTTCGCGAATATCCTTTTTTATTTTTTCGCACTAAGATGTTTGAGAACATTCAAGTTTATGTATGTTTCCATGTAAATCAGTAAAACAAAATATTTTAAAATTTACGATAAAATGAACTTATTATTTTGCGGACAAACAAGGAAACATACATTAACTTAAATGTTCTTAAAATGACTAAAAAATCTGGCCGGTTTTTCGCAACTAAATATTATTTCCATGGTCAGTTATCGAGTACGATCGCACCCCTCTTCCAGACCAAGTCTATATATATATATATATATATATATATATATATATATATATATATATATATATATATATATATATATATATATATATATATATATATATGTATATATATATATATATATAAACATCAATAATATGAATTCTCTCAATACTAATTTTTTTATTTATTCAAAGAAATTTTTGCTAGGTTTTTGATATATATATATATATATATATATATATATATTTTATATATATATATATATATATATATATATATATATATATATATTATATATATATATATATATATATATATATATATATATATATATATATATATATATATAATATATATATATAATATATATAATATATATATATATATATATATATATATATATATATATATAATATATACATATAATATATATAATATATATATATATATATATATATATATATATATATATATATATATATATATATATATTATATTTTTTTTATAACTTTATCCCTGGACTATGCATATAATATTTTGTTTTGACAACTCAGCCACTGCTCTTAGCAAGTTTTGAAAATTAGAGAGTTTTAAAAATGCACTGAATAAACAAATGAAAACTTAAACTAAAACTAAAATAAACAAATTATAAACTTAAAGAATATATAAAAACTATAAAAAAAAAAAAAAAAAAAAAAAAAAAAAAAAAAATTACTAAACTAAAATAAAATCTTAACGAATGTTAAAGCAAAAAAAAAATGTTAATGTCTTTATTTTAATTTAGAAGTGTTTCACTTCACAAAAGTTAGAAAAGATAGAAGTTTTAAAGTTATTTCAAATCAAAGCTTAATTAAATAAAAACTTAAAATTCAAAACTTTAATACTTTCTAATATTTTCAAAGCAAATAAAACATAAAAAAATAAAAAATAAAAGGATATGAACCTGCATCCAATGCCAAATTAACAGTTGCACACTCATAAACATAACAATAAATCAACCTAAGCACTACACTAACATAGAGGTATAGAAAAAATTATAAACTTTCAATATTGAGGCGCTTTTAAATTTAAAATTATATTATTTTTTTGCTTTTATTTTCTCTGGTTTATCATTTATTTATTTTATTATTTGTTTAGTTTGTTTCTTTTTTCAGTTTATGGTTTGTTTTGGTATGGCATGATTTGTTTATGGTTTTTTTTTTTAATTTTCTCTTGAAATTAATTTGGTCTTTTCAGGGCATTCTTTTAACATGTAAATTATCAAATTATGCAAAAAAACAGTTGTCAAAAAATATATTGTATATGTGGTCATATAAGGTGGCCGCATGCCTTTTCTGAGGAGATTTATGACTATTTATTTGATTTTTAATTAATAATTTGATTGTTAACTACAACTATGATTTTTTTAAAGGATTCAACAAACATGATTGTACCCAAGATGAGTTAAAAAGATTTGTGAGATACAAACGAGCTGAATACGCAAAGGAGAAGCAAAAAAGGAATGCAATACAAATATGAGGAACGTCAAAGAGCAAGAGAGGAAAGAGAGGCAGCAAAATTAGAGCGAAATAAACAAAACAATAACATCAACCACCGAAATGACTGGTACTAAACTCAAGTATCTGTTCTTACCTATAACTAAAACTATTCTTATCTATATTAAAAAAATATATATTACAATTAAAAAAATAAAAATTTTCCCAACGTTAAGAAGTCACATCCAAAACTTACTTCATTAATACAGGTTAACATAAAAAAAACTATAAATAACAAAAATCTAATAAAAATATAAATATGCATAACAAAATAAAAATATAAAACAATAAAACAAAAATATAAAATAAAATGTAGTCCATCCAGCTCCATTATTTTTTAACCGAGTTTATTTTAGATGATTGAGCTGGCCAATATAATATTGCATTCAGCAAAATTTTTCATATCTCTTGTTTTGGTAACTATTTCATAATTGAAGTCATAGCAACAATTATTTCTGAATATTTCACTGACCTTTAAACACTCTTTGGATAACCTTTTGCATTTTAAGTGATTTGCTGCTGGGTTGTATCTGATAGGGCATATATAGCAAACTTTCATTGCTTGCTGAAAATTTTTTGGACAACTAATGCAAGGTTCATTATTGAAAAGTAATTATTTAAATTAAAAAAATCAATTGGAAAAAAAATCAATTAAAAAGTAATTAATTTTAAGCCTGGAACCCTAGAGTTCTTGCTGCCATTATACCTAAGGACTCCGGGATCAAAAATTATTTGTTCCTCTAACCTAAAATTTTTGATTTTTTCCCCATTAGTAGTCCATAAGTTTTTGTATATTTTTAAAGCTCTTGGATAACAAAAACTAGACAGAAGTAATCTTTTTGTGACTTTCAAATCCGGAGTATTTTTTTTGGGATTCTGCATCCCTGATACATATACAGCATGGAAAATAAGAAATCGAAGGCGAGCGGTCAATTTGACTGACTAACACATGAAATCGGCCGTCAACTGCTTTTTCTGGACAGTTAAAATTTTGACTTTTTAATTTGTTTAAATTTTTATCTGAGTAATAGTTATTGAATTTTTCATCTGAGTAATAGTTGAAGTTATACACACAAATAATAGTTGAAGTTATACACACAAATAATACAAGTTTATTATTTTTTAATGCTCAAAAATAAATGAACTCGCATTCTTTTTAAGATCATTTTAAAATTAAACTTAAACTAGCAAGTAACTAACGTTCAAATTACCTGATAAAGTTAATTTGTTTAAAATTACACTCGCGGGCACAGACTTTCATTCCTATTTATCTAATGTTTAATTTTTTTTTTAATATTAAGACAAATTTTATATAATATTTAAAAAATTTTAACTTAATACTTAATACTAAAAGATTTATTTTATGTTAAATTATATATATTAAAAGAAATCATTTTATGAATGCTATTGAAAACTGAAAGCCTTGTTTGTCTCTTTTTATTCGCCTTTAATAAGACGAGTTGATGTTTGAGTTTTCTATTACAATTCAATAATAGAAAGGAAAAAAAAGTTAGTAAACGCGCGATCGATAATTTAAAATTTATCAAAAAATAATTCATTCATTACAATTGCTTCACTTCAGTAGGAATGAGCTATGAAAAAAAAAAAAAAGTACATTTAGTAGAGAAAATGTTCACAATTTTCAATGTTAGATACAAAAATTTTAAACAAAAAATTTATCTTCTTTATTAAATTATTATTATATTTCAAATAATAATTTTATCTCTGATTTTGATGAGCAGAGATATAAAACATTTTTTTCATCTCTGCTCATTCAAAAAACTGTAAAAATTAAATATTTATTTATTTTTAATAAACTTTATTGTCATTCGTGCTCAAATTTTTTACAATTTAAACTTGATGCAAAGAAAACAATTGTTTATGAAAC